AATGCCCATGCACAACCACGTGAGTACCCCAGCATCGTTCGTCAGCAGCTGGGTCTGTGGAGGGTTGAGCACTCCTCCATGTAGTTCCTTGGAACTTGAAGCCACACCCCCACACCAGCACCCTAGCAGAATATCTCCAAGACTACGGATTCAGCTCCCACCTTTTGTTCAGAGGATAAATTCACACAGAGGCTATCCTGTGCCCCCCTGAGCCTGCAGAGTGGGGAAGCTGAGTTACAGTGGGATGTCCAGGGTTAGGATGATGCCTAGAGACCCATCTGAGCAGCTACCTCAGTTTCCCCACTTCAGGGGCAGCCCCGCATCCTTGGCCAGGACTGCCCACCTCTTCCTCTCCTGCTTCTACTCCCAGCACAGGCACCTCAAGGCTATAAATAACATAATAGTCCAAAGGCCAGAAATCCGTGGGCTTGTATTGGCCATACTTTAATTGGGGCCCACCGGCAGCCAGGCTGAGAACTCCAGGCTGGAGTAGCCTCGTGCTAGGTGCAGGCACAGGCCCAGGCCTCCCACAGAGGGTGCTGACAGCTCAATTCCCAGTCCAAATGCAGGTACTGCCAGATCTCTAGCTGGGAGCGAAGAAGTGGCAGGTGCAGCAAGCCAGAGTCCCTGAGCAACAGCCAAAGGTGAGCAGAGGCACTGACACTGTGGAAGCCAATGGGAGGGGTGCAGGCAGGGTGAGTGGGATCTCCCCACTGCAGGGCAGGGGCCTCAGGGGTCCTCTGTGGAGGCCCGGGTTCCGGAAAGCAGGCTTAGTCTCTCCATGTCCTTGCTGTCTACTTCCTTGCTGTCTGGTATCCCTGTGGGAGGAAAGAGGCTCAGTCAGCCCCAAAGAAGACAAAGGTGCTCTGGGACCAGGCCTGGGCAGTCTGTCAAGAAATCTTCTAGCTTCCATTTTTAAAATAAATTCCAGATCCAACCCCTTCTCCCTACCTTCAATGCCATCACCATGGTCCCAGCCCCACTGCTCTCCCTTGATAGCTGCAGAGCTTCCTATGGTCTCTCTGCTTCAACGCCAAGCTCCTACAGTCTGTTCTCGACACAGCATCCAGAGTGGTGCTTTTGCAATATGAAACAGATGCCTTGGGACTTTTCACAGTGCTCCCATCTCACTCAGAGTTAAAGCCACACGGTCCCTACAAGGGCTCCCCGAACTCCCCATACTCTGGCCCCATTACTGCCACCTTCATCTCTATCCTCTTGCCCCTGCTCCAGCCACACTAGCCTCCTTGCCGGTCCTCAAACACATCAGGTACATTCCCACCTCAGGGCCTTTGCACTACCTGTTCCCTCTGCAGGAAGCACCTTCCCCAGAGAGCTGCATAGCTCACTCCCTCACCTCTTCCAAATCTCTGTTTCAGCGTCACCTGTGCAGTAAGGACCTCCCTCACCATCCTTTCAAAAATTGCCCCTACCTACCTGCTCCTCTCCACCCACTTTCCTGCTTTATGTCTCTCTGCAGCACTTATCATCTCAAATATACTCTATCTTTTCCTTTTTCTGTTGTTTTGTTTTGTTTTTTGTTTTGTTTTTTGTCTATCTGTGCCTTCTAGAGCACTGGCTCCATGAGGGCTTGGACTTGGCATTCACTCCCCAACATCTGCAACCTTGCCTGCCTGGCACATAACAAGGGCATAATAACTATTTTTGAATGAATGAATAAATAATTGAACAAGTAAACTGGCCAGGGGCTCAGGGGGTGGCCAGTGTTCCTTGCTCCTACAGAGTTTAGCTCTGACTCCGGCATGGGTAAGAGAGGTAGGGGTACCTGTGTCAGGCTGCCTGGCCTGGTCCTGGTCTCCTTCCAGGTGCAGTGCAGCCAGTAGGAAGCAGCCGCCCCCCAGGGCGATGACGAAGGTGCAGCACAGAAAGCTCTGCTGAAGACTGAGGAAACGTTGCAGGTAGGAGTCGGGGCGCCTGGCTCGCAGGGCGCTGGAGATCTACAGAGGAGGGAGGCTTGGTCTGCCAGGTCCACCAGACCAGCCTCTAGGTCTCACCACGTGTAGGTCCCCACCCCCCAGACCTTTCCCACCCCCCACACACTAGGGCATGCCTGCAGCTCAGCCGCCCACCCAGCCTTACAAGTCCAGTGAGATAGGGGCTGCCAGCGTCTCCCAGGATGTGGCCCACTGTGATCTGAAGCGCCTCTGCTGTCCCTCGGCATCTGGGCACCACCACTGACTGCAAGACACAGGAGCACCAGGGGAACTCCCCAAGTGAGGGCAAAGAGTAGATGCCCCTCATAGCCAGCCCCTGCTCCCCATTTCCCAAAGACTTGCCTGGGGCTGTGATAGGTTGGCCAAGAGAGTAAGATAAGAGGGAGTCAATGACCCCAATGCCTGAAGCCCCACCACCAGAATGTCAGACCCCTCCAAGTCTCAGGAAGTCTCCCCAGTCCCCCAGGATGGGGCTGCCAAGTCCCCTGACGAGGGATACCCCTCTTGAAGGTTTGCTCTTGAACCAAGTGGGAACCAGGCATGGCTGTGACAACAGAGATGGGGCTGGGGTACCCCAGCTCAGGGACCCAGGAGTCAGTAGTGCAGGCTGGTAGGGTAAAGAGTGGGTACCAAGCCAGGTGTCTACATGTGTGGGCACTGGGTGGGATGGTACAGACAGCTCACCCCTTCTCTCAGGAAATTCAAGCCCCACTGGACAGACACCAAGGCAGGCTTGGTTGGGAGGCCCACAGGACTCCACGGAAGAGAGTGGAGAGGTTAGAAATATGAATTCTGGAGTCAGATAGTCGGTGTTCCAAACCCAGATCCCCACTCAATAGCTGTGTGACCAGGCCAGGTGCTTCGCCTTTCTGTGCCTCAGTCTCCTCATCCCAAAATGGAGATAAAAACTATACCTACATGGAGGGTTGTGCTCATTATTATTCTTCATCTGGTATCTGGAGCTTTATGTGGACATCAGACAGAAATAATGCCCCATGATTCTAGGAGGCAGAATGCTTCCAGGCATTTGAGCATGCTATGCTTTCTGCCTGGCAAGCCTTCCCCTCTCTGGTCCAGCTGGAGCATCCTTATTTGGCCTTCAAGATTGACCTTTAGGTCATCTCCTCTGTGAAGCCTTCCCAGAGTTCAAGGGTCTACCCTGAGCTCCCACAGCCCCTATGTGTACCCCTAAGTGGACACATGTCCCCCACAATTGGGACAGTTCCCTCTTTGCTTCTTACCCTTACATTATCTTGGCAGCAAAGCTCCTGTCTTATTTCTCTTGGGCTCCCTGGGGTACAGCAAGGTACCAGGTACAGAAGGGACTAGCTGAAAGTATGCCAACTAAATAAATCAAGTAGAACCATCTGGGAGACTGGTCCCAGGAGAAACCCTGCCAGAACCCAGGGCTGCAGCAGGAGGGGGTGGGGTGGAGGAAGGGGTTCAAGCAGAAGCCACAGGTCACACGGTCCCTACAGGGCACCCACAGGAGAGCTTCCCACCACAGAGCCTTATCCCCAAGACCTAAATGTCCACAATCTGAGAATAATAATGATAATAATTATTAAATGTATTAAATGCTTCCTGCATGTTTTTATATATTATATGTATATATATTTTGTATATCTATTAAACCAAATCATGAGAAAGATACAATTATTATCCACATGTTATAGGTGAGGAAATCTTCCACAGGAAGGGTAACTTGCCCAGGATTGCCCAGCCAGGAAACTGCAGGGCTGTGGGCTTTGATTTCAGGCCTTCTCCCTCCATGGCCTGGCCTTTTGACCACTCTGCTGCTGTGAACAAGGAGGAATCTTTCCAGGAATGTTTATATGTTTGTTCTAGAACATTTGGAAAATAGAGAGAAGGATAAAAAGGGCAAGTTCATCCTTAGCCCTGCAAACAGGTAACTGGCAGGGAGATTGGGGAAGGGCATTAAGGGCAGGGGAGAGTGTGAGCAAAGGTGTCCCTTTGTGAGCAGGAGCCACAGGGGATTTGTGAGAGGGGCCTTGTGGGTGGGCAGGGCAGAGTGGCAGGAATCACTCCTATGGGTAACTAGCTAGTCCCAGAGTCACTGGTGCTGAGCTACTCTTTCCAGGTGGTGAGAGAAGCTGGGCCTCCCACCCATCACCACCACCTGCCAACAGGCCTAAGAAGGAACTGACCACAGCTCTGCATCTTCCCTAAGCTCTTCCTTCTCACCCCATAATGTTGTGATTACTCACTGGTGGTTCTGGGGAAAAGGGCAGGGCCTCCTAGAGGATGGGATCTGAGTGTCCAAAAAGATGGTTCCATCTTCCCCTCCCAGGCATGCCAACCAGCTGGGCCAACACCAAGCCACTGCTGCCAGTGGCAGAAAAGGTAAGTCTCCCCCAGTCTGTTCTGGGTCCGCATTGTGTCTCCACATAATCAGGGGCCACAGCTGGGCCCACCAGCAGGTGGAGAGTCCAGCTGGTAATTTTAGAAGTGAGAGGCTTTTGGGTTCCCAAAACTCCAGGCTCGCTCTATTCTGAGACAAAAACACCTCTGTTTTTGACTTTCCCTTCTTAGAAGAGCTATTCCCTTTATAGCCTGGGGCATAACCAGCGCCAACCACGGGCCTACAGAAAGTCAGAGTGGCAACCACCAGGTGCAGACTTCCTGGCAGCCTGCCTCTTGCAATCCCCACTCAGTCCTCACACCCAGACACCCCTGGGAATGTGAGCAGACAGCTATCTGGGGGGCAGAAAGCAGAGCAGGGAAGAATTGAGACAGGGTCAGCAGGAGAAGAGAAGGGTGATAACTCTTCAGGGGGTAGGAAGAAATCTGCTGAGGAGGAGGGAGATGAGCCTGGCAGCTGGATTCCAGAACCCCAGAGGACAGATCTGGGAGAGGGAGTGAGCTCCCCTTCTGCTCTACTCCCCACTCCTGGGGTGAAACTGGCTCTGGGGTACCCCGAGTGGAGCCCAGAAAGATAGGAGGGTTGGAAGGCAGGTGGAGACACCATCAATAGATTCGGGGAGGCAGAGATCTCAGCCTGAAGAGATGCAAGCCCAAGAGACACAATGTCAACTTTCCAGGAAACACAGCCTTCTGGGGTCCAGCCAGGCTAGAGGGAGCTTGCTAGATCTGAAGTTGTTCCGGGCTGTGATGGAGCCAGATCCTTTCACCAACAGAGCCACCAGGAAACAGGGGCGATCCGGACGCTCCTTGTCAGAGGGTATGTGAACAATGGGATGAACAGTGCTCATCAGAATTTTGCAGGGGATTCATGGAATAGGGAGCTGGCTGCGCTAGACCAGTGGTCTCCAAGTATGCTGTGAGAAACATCTACATAAGGATCACGTGGGAAGCTCATTAGAACTGCAGATCCCTAGACCTCAGCATAATCCCACTAAATCAGATGCTGAGGATAGAGAGCCTAGAAGCTCAATTTGCAACAAGCTCCCCAAACCTGAATCAATAAAGTTTGAGAACCACTGGACCAGAGAGAGAGCCTCTGAGGTCTCTTCTCCAGAAAAAATCTGGCTTCTCCTACTTGTGGCTAAGCGATCAAAGAGAGTAGTGCCCCTGAGACGGGACTGACACGGAGGCCAGAGAGGCCTACACCGACTCCTCAGGCATATGTATGATGAGGGTAGCACAGCGGTCCCCAATCTTTTTGGCACCAGGGACTGATGCTCCTATGAGAATTTAATGCCTGATGATCTGAGGTGGAGCTGAGGTTGTAATGCTAGTGCTGGGGAGCGGCTACAAATACCGATGAAGCTGGGCTTGCCTGCCGCTCACCTCTTGCTGTGAGGCCTGGTTCCTAACAGGTTGGGGACCCCTGGAATAGCAGATATTAGTTAACTTGTCATTATAGCCTGGGAAGCACAATCGAGGGCCTCCTCACTCCCTGGAACGTACCTGATTAGACTGCCTGTGCCTCAGGAGCAAAAGTAGGCCAGCAGGTGGGACCTTTCTGCACTTCCTGGCACACCCATGTCCCCACACAGTTCCTGCCCCCATCCTATTCTAGGCTGCTTCCCCCCAGCCCCTTCACCCGCCACTCCACATCCTCCTGGCCCTCTCTCCACCTTTCCCTCCTTCCCGCCCCTGGAGGCTACTCCTGCCTCATCTCCTGAAAAGCAACACCAACTCCTGCCAACTCCAGCTCCCATTCTCTCTCTCCTGTCTCCTCAGCACATCTTCCTGTGTGCGTGGTCTACACTGCAGGTCTCCTTCATTCCCTACTCTTTCCTCACCCTGCTCCAAGCTGGAGTCTGCCCCTCCATTCCACAGACCGGGTACTCACAGCCTGCCTGCCCCTCATCTGCATTTGGCCAGAGGCCACTCCCTCCTTGAGTGTCCCCTCTCTGCCAGAGCACTAAGCTCCAAGGGCTGCAAGAACTAGTCCAGCTCCCACCACCAAAGTATCCAAAAGCAATCTTTCATTAAGGGGCTTAAAGAAGGTAGGAAGGAAGTGGGGCGTGACATAAAGCCTTCCTGGGGTAGCGGGCCTTGCTAAGCTTTGGGAGCTGGAGGCCTCTGAGCCAGGGAAGAACACCAGGGAGCACCAAGTGGTCTGAATCATGGCCAGCCGGCCCCCTGGGCAGCTCCAGATAGCTCCCCAGCAAAGCTAGATGGGTCAAACTATGGCTGAGCAGCCCCACAGCCCTCCCCTTCTCCCCGACCTCTGCCCCAAACATACACACAGCTCTACAAAGAGCCTGTTCAGCCAGGTTAATCATTCTTTCAAACACAGACACTGTGGGGGACACAGGCGCGGTCTTCACATATCTGTGAGGCTGTCATGTGGAAAAGGGAGCAGCACAGTGGGGGGCAGGCGGAGGAAGCTGCAGGTGGCAGGTTTCAGCCCCATCTGAACCATCTGAGAAAACAGCTATGTTAGAGTTAGGGGGTAGTTACCTGTGCCTAAAAGTAGGCAATTCCACTAAAGAAAATGTTTGTCGACACTTTCCTGCTTCCCCATTTACTGAGCGTTTCCTGCAGTCTCTCTCGCAAACCCTGCCAGGCTGGTATGATTAGCCCTTTTTATAGACAAGGAAACTGAGGCCCAAGACATTCAGAAGGTCTGTAGCCAAGTATGGGCAGGTATCCAAGTTTTCTTTCTGGAGAAAGAAGAGAAGATCTGCCAGTCCTGCTGCTGATACACCCACTCAAGACTCAAAGACAGAGTAGGCCTGTCTGCACCTGCTGAGCCTGGCCCATGGGAAGGGGGCAGAACAGCTAGATAGGAAGTAAGCATCCAATCACAGTAATATTCAAGCAGGCCTTGTTGGCTAATTAAATGACTGCATTTCTCCACAGCCCTTTCATTCTCAGATTCTAGGACTCTAGGATATCTCTGGGAGATGAAAGATGAGAAAGTAGAAACCTCTGACTAGCTATCAGCACCCTGGCCAGCATTCTCTGTGCCAGCCACAGGGCAAAAGCTGCCCACGTATCATTTCATTTCTTCCTCACAATAACTCATCAGGCATTTTCATACCCATCGCCACATGGGGAAACTGAGGCTCAGAAACACAAAGTGAATTGCCTAGGTCACATAGCTAGTAACTGACAGAAACAGGGCTGAAATCCAGGTCTGTTTCCTGAATCCAGGTTTGTGCCCCAGCTACACCACCCTTAGGACAGCTCTCAGCCAACTGCCAAGCTGCTGTTTCCCTTGTGCCCAGCTCTGACCTGTGCCAGCCTGCCAAGAGGCAGGAGGAGGGCTCTTGTGGTCCCCCTAGGTCTGAGACTCTGTGTTATTCACAAGGGCACAGTCTATCAGTGTTTAAAGCCCTTCCCTGCATGTCTCCGAGAAGGAGGCAGGGAGGTTGGACTCTGGACCTAGCGAAGTTATGTGGTCAGGACAGCATCAGGCCTCATTATAGCCTGAGCTGGCCCCCTGGCTTGACATGGGAGCTGGGGCGATCTAGACTCACCTGGGCTCAGTGGCTATAGCCCTAAAGTCCAGCATGCCCAGAGTGGGGGCCAAGGAGCTTGCTTGCTGAAGAGTGTAGTCAAGAAAGAGGGGAAGAGGGAGGGAGCCCTGGAGTCAAAAAGCCTGGGCCCCAGTCCTGGCTCGGTGCCTTTGCATGTTGTGTGACCTTGGTCTAGGCACCTGCCCTCTCTGAACCTCTATCTGCTCATCTGCAAAATGGGAAGTGATGGTCAGAGGAGATGTTTGAGAGTGTCAGGGGGCCCCTGGTCAAAGACAACTGTTCAGTTACCTTGATTCCCTACCCCATGATCTCTGAAGCCCCTCCCAACCTCTGGGCCACTCAACAGCAGAGGTCCATCCCTGAGCTGAACAGACTTCAGCTCCCACTGCTCAAGAGGCCCCAGGACCAGCCCCCACTCTGACCCCCACACCTACCAGCAGGATGTCTGCAACCACTGCCCAGTTGCAGGACAGAAGCAGTTCCCCAAGGGCCAGGAACACCTGTGGACAAAGGGAGGCCAGGGTGAGGCTCCCCGGACTTCAGTCACCTACCCCTCCCAGCACTGACTCTTCCTGCCTGTGGAGAGGGAGACTGAGGCTCCACAGAGGAAAGCACCAAACTCATTGGGTAGACGAGGTCTAGAACTTTGTTTCCAGTTGCAGCAGCCTCAAAGGTGGGTAGATATTCCCATCTAGGCAAGCTGGCAGCCATGACTCGAGGGTGGTGACAGGGCCCACTCAGGCCTGAGAACAGTACTCTCCCTGATGGATGGCCCCCAGAGTCTAGCTCCTGAGGTCACCTGGGGAGCCCAGGGAGGAAGCAGCCAAGACACCCAGTCCACTTTTAAAGGTAGGGAAACAGACTTGAAGAGGAGAAAAGCCCAGGGACTACTCAGAGCTTACCCACCCCTTCTCTGTGTTCTCCTAAGGCTTGAGCACACTGATAAGGTGCCTATTGTGTGCCCCCTTCCCCCACCCTGCCCAGATGTCTGCTGGTGACTGGAGGCCACTGCAAGCCTGTCTCTCCCAGCTCCCTGAACCCCTGCCTCATGCCAAAGGATTAGGACAATCCTCATTCCACTTACTCAAGAAGAGTTTAATGAAGCAAGGAAAAAAAAAGTCTTATTTCTGCGAGCTTCCAAGAGCTTATGGCTGGAGTGGAATTAGTCATTCCTGGAGTCACGGGGCTGTGCCCTGGGCAGCCGAGGCCCTGACTCCCAAAGGCCCATAAGCACCCAGGGCAGAAGAACCAAAGGACCATTGCCTGCACACCTGCTGCGTGCCAACCATGTCCAATCTTGTCACCCATCTAACCTCTCAGCCACCTTATAAGGCAAATATTATTAAACCCATTTCACAGACGAGGATACTCAGGCCCAAGGTAATATATCAGGCCACTTTCTGGCAAGCCTCCCACCACTGTGGCTGTCCCTTTAAAAGATGAGGAACAGGAGGCTGTGATGGGGAAGACTCTATAAAAATTTCAGCAGCCACAGTGCCCAGTGAGGCTGGCAGGAAGGAAGTCAGAGGAAAGCCCAGGACGAGGAGGGCCTCCAGGCGGAGGTGGCACTGACCAAAGCCTTGAAAGGTAAGTAGGATCAGGATGGGCTGAGAAAAGCCCCAAGGCCATGCCAGGCAGAGGATCCATGAGAGCAGAGGCAGGGAGGCTGAAATGCACCCACCATGCTGGTTGGGGCAGAAATATGGCCCAGTGCAATGGAGAAAGAGAAGAACCCACTGAAGAGAAAGAGCAGCTGTGTGTGTTCTCAGTCTAAGCAGTCCCTGGTTCTCTGTGCCCAAACTGTGGAACCCTTGAGGGCAGGGTAGGTAGGCACCCACAGGGGTGGGAATCAGATCTGCTGGCAGGTCAGGTCTCAGGTGGGGCCCAGACAGGCCACAGACCCACATTCCAGCCTGACAGGATCTGTCACCCCAGCTTCTTGAAGCCACATGAAAGCCCAGGCCAGGCTCACACCCACCTTCCCCACACATTCCAGCCACCTCCACCTGGACTGCTAGGCCACTCCTCTCCTCACACCTCCAGCTTGTGGCTGTCTTTCACTCCAAAGAGTGGGTAGCAGCCACTGGAAGCCATGCATTCTGCTGGTGCTGCAGCCTCCCATTCTGTCTCTCCCTGCTCCCCCACAGCCACAGGACATACTGAAATACACCTTTTCCTTCCTCCAGCTGGAGCAGGGTGGATCCTGACCCCAAAATAGAGCCGATCAGAGGGAGGCTGCAGCCACAATGGTGCCTTTCAGGCTGAACAGGCTGCCTGCCGGAGGATGCCAGATTTCCTAGGACACACCTGGAAACCAGCCTCCAGCCACAAATCCTCATCTCCACAAGGGAGGTGGCCGCTTTGAGCGGCAGAGGGCCTGGCTAGGGAGAGGCCACCTCTCAAACCAGTAATTACAGAGTCTCCTGAGGGGGCTGCTCAAGGAGGGGCTCTCCAACAAAGGGGTGTGACCTCCCAAGGAGGACAGGGCCGGCCCCATCCTTCCATGCTGGGCAACCCGAGGGAGGTCACCATCCTCTGGGCCTTGGTTTCCCCAACTGTACAACAATGGGGGTGGCCCAAATGCTCTGCCAGGAATCTCCAGCACCAACAGCCTGTGCTTCTAAAGCTGTGACTCTCGCTTGGCACTACTCATGTTCCCCACAGTGTGTGTGCAAACGAGTCTTAGAGTTCAGGGGCTTCCATGACCAATTCAGACTTGGTTCCTCAATTAAATAACTGAACAAACTAACTAAAAGAGCCGTGGCTTGAGATAAAGTCACCGTGAAGAATTTATCTGACTGTTTCCAGCTACTCCTACACAGGTGACTCAGCGCCACAGTGCCAGGCACCTCCTGGACACCCTCTCTTGAACTGCTACAGGCATCTCTCACTGACCAGGTTCCCAAATTCATTCTCTCCTCCTGTCCTCCCATGTCACTGCTCTCATCCAGTGTAGCGAAGCCAGCCAGGACATAAGCCCCAGACTGGCCACCAGCAGGCTGCCGAAGCTGCTTCTCTGGGAAAGCTTGTTGTAGGCCATCACTCAGGCCAGAGGGGGATGTAAGGGGCTCTTACATTACTTGTTCACCCTCGCTGCCCTCCAGTCAGTGAATCCTGTCCATTCTGCATCCTAAATGTCCCTCCTATCTGCCCATTCCTCCTGTCTGCTGCTGGTCTGGTCCAGGCCACCCCTTCTCTCTCCTCCTTACCAGTTTCCCAGGCTCCACTATCCTCACACCCACTGTAGCCCTGGAGGGGACTTCCAAAAGGGAAATCTGACTCTGCCCTTATCCCCTTAGTGCCTGTGCATGCTTCTCTGAACCCTGAGTTAGTCCCCCTGGGTGACAGGGCCTGGGAATCCTGCCTGGAGCCTGAGAAATGTGGAGCCCCTCGGCCCCTGGCCTTTTCCATTTCAGACTCAAGAGGATTTCCCCTTTAAGCTGGGGCAGTGATGATGAATGTCCCTGGCCTTAGTCCCCCCTGGCCACAGAGGAAGGCACACATACACACACCCACTCACACTGTAATACAGGCACACACTCACATACACACACAGTCACACAAGCATACATAGACACGTGCACATGCAAAACCTCACACATGTGTACACAAGCTTCAACACATGCACACTCATACACATGCACACATACATGCACACTTGTAACATGGAACACACATAAAACACACACCACATGTACATGCAAATACAAGTAACATGGATGACATCCGAAATATTAAAAGTGTGGCAAAAGTGCCAGCCAAACAAGTGGTGGCTGTAAACACTGGTACACACTTACTGGGGTGAACTTGCTGAAAAACAGCCTAGCATGTATACCTGCAAGCTTGTGGTCTCATAATACGGACAGCAAGTTGTACACACACGATCACACAGGTACACACAGTTATGCATATATACAAACATGCTTATGCCCTCACACTCATGCACATGGGCATGCGTACACTCATGCCTTCACACACATACATATTCACAACTCTCCTCCAGTACACTTGCATGCACAGGAAGGCATGGGGAGGGAGTAGGAGGAAAGATGGGGCCCCTGCCCAGAGAAAGCTCAGTCTCTATGGGGTGGTGGGGGTGGTGTCTTCACCTTGGTCCATCTCGGTCTTCCCATTGGGCAGTAACTGATCTCTGACCTGCAAAAAATGGATTCTAAGCCCCCCAGGAAGGAAGAAAGCAAATATCCCCCATGGGCCCATGGAGACTAGGGCAGAGCTAAGACTCAGTCCTCCCTTTTTACAGATCAGCTCCTCACCCTGTGTGACTGAGCAGGTCAGGACACAGGCCCCAAGCAGACTGGCCGCCAGAAAGCTGCCAAGCTGGCTGGCACACTTTACCCCCAGGCCTGCCAACCTGTAATCGCAAAGACTGGCTTCAGGGCACAAGAGCACCACCTGTTTCTCAGGGGCCAGCAACAGCCTGGCAGCCTGGTAGGCAGGCAGGTGGGGAGTGAGGAAATGAAGAAGCAGAGCTCTGGTGTCCTCCTAAAGAATTCAGCAGAGATTGTGGGCTTTCTGGGTGGGCTCTGCTGTCCACCCAAGAGGAGACAGCTGCCAGGTCTTGGCAGGGAGGTGGGGCCCTCAAAGGAAGGTCAGGTGAGCCTTTCTCAGTCCTTCTGAGGCAGCCCATGGCAAGTCTGGCTACTTGAACTCAAGATGCGAAAGAAAAAGGGCTTATTCAAGAAGTCTCCCAAGGGCTAAGTTGTAGAAAAGCCCCTCCAGAGCTGGGGCACCTGCATAGAGGCTGCCTG